GAAGGTACCTCAAAGGATACAAACGAGGATCTGCAAGCAAATACAGGTGCATATATATATGGAATGGACGAAACAATATTTAAATTCGTGAAAAGGTGAAAGAAATATACCTCCACGTGAGATCGCAGCAGGGGCAGCCTCCTCAGGGCTCTGAACAGTCGGTCGGATTCCCTTCCCTCGAGCTCTACGTGGCGACATGATGAGTATGTGATCTACATTGAAATCCAAGAGAAAGGTTAAGATTTTGAACATGAAATCGACAAAAAAATAGGACAAATACAACTGAAATGCTGCATGCACAGTCACAGGTTGCCAAAAGTCAAGATTTTGAAGAAAAGAGGGGAAACAGACCTTTCAAATCCAAATGAATTTGAACATGAAATCGACAAAAAAATAGGACAAATACAACTGAAATGCTGCATGCACAGTCGCAGGTTGACAAAAGTCAAGATTTTGAAGAAAAGAGGGGAAACAGACCTTGCAAATCCAAATGAAATCTCTTCAAATCGAAGCACCACCAAAGTCAGAAACGAAGAGAAGAAGAAGAGGTGAAGAACTGGTCGAAAATCGCTCGAAAATCGCCCAAGAATCACCTGAAAATCGCAAAAAATCGACGTGAAAAACCCTAAAAACCCTAAGTCCCGACTTATATAGCAGCCGGGCGAGACAGGAAACTCTGTCTCGCTGAGCGAGACAGACAACTCTGTCTCGCCGAGCGAGACAGAAAACACTGTCTCGCCAAGCGAGACAGAAAACACTGTCTCGCCGAGTGAGACAGAAAACACTGTCTCGCCTATGTGATCTGCAAGGAAGCCCAACGAAAAAGTCAGGATTTTGAGCAAGAAATCAACCAAAATATCACCAAATATGGCCGAAATAATACATGCACAGTCACAGTTAAAAAAAATCAGAATTTAGGAGAAAAAAAAGAGTGAACAGACCTTTGAAATATGGCCGAAATAATACAGTCACAGTCACAGTCACTGTCTTTGCTGTCTCGCCAGCGGGACAGTCTTTGCTGTCTCGCCAGCGGGACAGTCTTTGCTGTCTCGCCAGCGGGACAGTCTTTGCTGTCTCGCCAGCGGGACAGTCTTTGCTGTCTCGCCAGCGAGACAGTGTTGAAATAGTCAAAACTACATTTGTAACTGCCCTACACGTGTCCATTAACTGCCAAGGGACGTGGGAAACATCATGGGCGAAAATCACGTGGATAACTGCCAAAATAACGGAGTTTGAAACGTGAGAGAACAGTTACAGCGAGAAACTGCCATTTTCCGAGACAGCATTTACTGTCTCGCTGAGCGAGACAGCAAATTTACTGTCTCGCGGGTCGAGACAGCAAACGCTGTCTCGCCCAGCGAGACAGCAAACACTGTCTCGCCGTACTGATTTCTATGATTGCTGAGTTTTTGCAGTTACAGACCCTTGAGGCTATAAATACCCCCCTAGGGTCACTTCTGACGAGGATCGAGCATTTGTTAGAGCATTCCAGAGCAGAGAGAGCAGAGATTTGGGTTCTTTTCTTGCAACGCCTTGAAATTAAGCTTCGACTTGATTTTAAGAAGAACGACTATCTTACTTCGATAAGATATCGTTTCAATTTCTACTTCGATAACGAAGTTAGAATCATAAGTCCCCTCTTCACGATCTGTGAATCGGCGGTCCACGAACCAAAGCGTTCCCGGCACAGGCAAAGTCCCACGAAAACGAGAATTGATAAACGATTTTCGTGTTTGTTTCTCAAGAGTTAAAATTTTTGATTTGTTGTGTAGAAAAAGTCTTATAAAAAGATTATTCTTTCGAATTTGTTGTAATCGAACAAAGTTATAATGAATTCCACAGCAACGACTTTTGAACCAAACATCGGCGATAAAAGCATTTATCGGCCGATAAGGGAGGCTCTAAATATTGGCTTTATCGGGCCAAATTTTGAGTTGAATTTTCGGGTAATGGTTAGTGATTCTAAACATGATTATTTATATTTTGGTATGTTTATATTTTATTAGGTATGGTTAGATTATATTTTTTAGTTATTATATTATATATATACACCATCTTGTATATCACTCCGATAAATACTACTTATCCCCGATATATCCCCGATTTTTGCTATCTGATAAAGATTTTAACCGTCCAATAAATACCCGATATCCGATATTTAAAACCTTGTCATAATCAGAGGATCCCCAAAAACTAGCCAACAAGAATTCAATATTGTGAAGAGCTTGCTTAGGGATGGAGGTGGTGAAAAGCAAGTGAATTGGCATTCTACAAAGAACATGTTTAATAAGAATGAGTCTACATGCGTTGCTCAATAATTTAGAATGCCACCCTTGAATCCTTGCAGATATTTTATCAATAAGAGGCTGATAGAGAGAACATTTTCTTTGGCCTGGACTAATAGGAACTCTACGTATATAATGCGGAAATTACCTCTGGAGAATTTGGTCATTCTTTGCATAGATCTCACCCTTTGTATAGCCGCTTTACAAGGCAAGAGTTGGGCTGATATCGCTCAATTAGTTTCATGATTAGCTGAAGGGAGGGTTAGCCAGCATTGACAAATATAATGATGCCATCAGCAAAGAGAAGGTGGGAGGAGCATTTATTCATTGTAGTATTGTAGCTCTTCTTGACTGTAATAAAATGAGAAAACCCACAAGATAGAGTTTCTTCAGCCAAATGTGTGTGAGAGCATAACAAAAAAAAAAAAGGAAGAAAGAAAAAAGGAGAGCGTGTGAGAGAAAAAGATAGGAGAAAAAATAGAGAGAAAAGAGTGTGAAGATCAGATAGTGGAGTCCTTGTACTTATCTATTTTTCAAAAGTGAATATCTCTCCACTGTCCGAGGACGTAGGCCAAAGTCTGGGGCCGAACATTGTCAATTTTGTCCTATCTTGTTGCATTGTGGTTCCATATTCTATTGACGTCTCAATCTCCTAGATCCTGCAGTTATGTGTGTTAGGATCGGCGTACGGCGATAGATTCCGCATCCGTTGTAGAGAGATTATTCAATCGATAATTCACAACAGATTAAACTTAAGCCAATGACCCCTGTTTGAGTTTGATTCTTTATAAATTTGAGGAACTCAAAATCAAGCTGAATGCTTCACATGTGGCTTGTTTTGTTGATAAGAATCCAAGCATTTTCTAATCGATCCTTTGGAAAAGAAACATTAAAAGCACTCCAAAAAGAAGTTACACATTTCTCTTTTTTTTTTATCATGTAAGTAAGCTCATTTAGTAGTGGTCTGGTTTTCCAACAAGTTAATTACAATCTGCGCTAAAGAAAGATGTTAATAGTTTGCTCAGATCATTCGTCTATTTCTATAGTAATATGGAGAACGTTCTATATTTTGCAAAGCTACATGTTTGTATTTTGCCATATTGGCTAAACACCTTATATATTAAAATTTAAATATCAAACAACTTTTAGAGAGTCTTCCCATGCATGTGCACACACATAGATTTCGAGCTTATTTGAACCAAACATGAGCCATCAAGGCCTAGCTGGAGTTCTACTTGTTTCTTAATCGACTGAGCCAAAATCAGGTTACACGCCAAGCCAAACATGAATTGTATGTGATTCTGGTATGTTTGAGTCGTTTGACAGCCCTAATTGGAAATGACAACAATTATGAAACATATAATATGCAGGAATAAGGCATTGAAATTCCGAATTGTAATTGCTTTCATTAGAAAAACCATATCGGCTAGGATACTCCTAATATGTTAAGACAGAAAAAATGAAACGCTACCCTTTCAACTACTATAACTCTTGTCCAACCCTTAGAATATTTATAATGGTTCCTCTTCTCAGTATGTTCTAGTTGGGAGAACAAATCCTCTTCTTGGAGTTTGGAAATTCCAACAATCTGCATCAGTCTGGGATTAACATCCTGCTGCAATTCACAGATTGACAAACCCAACCAGGAATATTTGCTTGTGAGCATACAATGTAGACGTGAATAATTGAAATTGGATAACTCATCCATTTTTCCTCCTTTTCATGTTGCGGGAAATACAATGTTGGTGTGGGAAAGACATTGTTATACATAATAACAAATGATACAGTCACACTCATCTCCATGTTGCCATTTCCACGTGAAGTTTGGCAAACAGTCAAAGATGGTTGAAATATATAAATGCAGAATCATTAAAAAGTAGGTGATTGTGTGAGTTGAGATTCACAAGTTGGGTGTATTATATTAGAGAGAAGATTTTTGTCATTAATGTGTTACTTGACATTGTGGATTGTGCTTCGATATAATTTTGCCACATTAGGCTATACTTGCTATCTGTTCTTAAGTTTACTTAGGTTCTTCTATACTCCTGTAAAGAGTTACCAGTAAATGGGATATATCTCTTATAAACTGCATTAAATTTATAACTTTTATTGTACATCAAATGCATATCTTTGTCCTCTTCGAGTCTTTCTTAATCCAGTATCCACTCTTCAATTATGTGTTTTTTATCATCTATTTGTTGTAAGGCTCTAATTTCCATGTCTTTTGTAAGTTTGACCACTTTTCACACTGATGTTCTTGTTATGC